CTTAGGGAAGCAATCCAATACCAGTGAACTACAAGCCACTTGGTAGACTATTATATATTTTGATACAATACAATATATGTTTTATATATTTACAATTATACAAAAAGGGGGCCAATATTAATTTTCGTACAGGACTTCAATTTTCTTAGGAACGGCCCTGTAACCATTTAACCACATCTCTCCATGGTAAGCCACATCGCCACGTCTCGAATCGAGTAAGGGCTGGACTCTGCCAACCCGGCCGACGCCCAACAACCGGTAGATTTACAAAGCGTACAACATGTTGTTTGAGATGTGTCTGGATGAAAATGAGAAAATAAAACGGAGCGTCATGCCTGTAGAAACTGAAAACGCAATCCACCATGTACCATCACTTTAGAGACAACTTGTTAATTATCACCTTGAGAACATGGTATTTTAATGGACGTAGAAATGACACATTGTTACTTATTGCTTTATTTAAGTTATAATTTTGCAAAAGTTTGACACGAGCTTCATGTGAAATAATTATTATTTTTTTAAAAGAAAAATGGGAGCACTGAATGTAGGATTTTATGATTTAAAACTGATGAGAATCTGGTTTTGTACTTAAAAAAATCCACTAGCATCATAAAGTTGACAATAAACCAACCACCAAATATTTATATACAAATTTTATTTTGCCTCCCAATCCTCGTTTCTTCATAAACTATTTAATTTCATTCAATAATGTAGTGAAACAATAAACAACTGGAATCATCTCATTCAGCCCACAGATTACATTTGTAAACAATGCTTTTTAAGTGATCATGTGATTCCATGTTGTGTAAATAAATTGAATAATTGATACTATTTTAAGTCACTGTTAATTCTTAGAAAAAAAAAAAAAAAAAAGAAAGAAAGGAGTGGTCAAAGGGATACAGTTGGCTATAATTCTTAAAGATCACGAGTTTAATTATTTTTAATATCTTTTCTACACCAAAATGTACGCTTTAGGTGAAACTAGTTGTCGTTATATCGTGTACCGCGGTAAAAAACAACGCCGTTATCGGAGTGTGTATTTTTTGTGTATTAATTACCAACTGAAACTACAGTGTATTTAAACTGACAATGCCTCACGTATTATTTTTATATTATCAATTGAAATGAAATGAAACTGTAGTTGTATTGAAATGAAACTGTAGTATATACAAAATGAATTGAAACTGAATAACAATTTCACATATTCGAGTGTATATTACCCAGCGAAAATGTAATTATATCAAAATGATACTGTAGTTGTGTTGAAATGAAACTACAGTATATATAAAATGAAACTGAATAACATTTCACATATTTGAGTGTGTATTGTGCAATGAAGTTGTAGTTATATTGAAATGATCATGTAGTTGTGTTTTAATGAAACTATAGTGTATATGAAATAAAATTAAATAACATTTTCACATATTTGAGTGTATAAATAACGAATGAAACTGTAGTTATATTCAAATGAAACTGTAGTTGAACTGAAATTGCAGTGTATACAAAATGAAACTGTAGTTGAACTGAAATTGCAGTGTATACAAAATGAAACTGTAGTTGAACTGAAATTGCAGTGTATACAAAATGAAACTGAATAACAGAGTTACTTTTTTGTAGAACAGCACGGAATGACGGGAAACATGTGCCGTTTCTTTCATTAAACAAAGCGACATCGTTTTGAAGCTCGGTGCCTAATCGATTATGCACCGCGGTGCACGATATAATTTGCCGTGAAACTAGTCTTTGTGACCTTAGTTGATAAATTGGTCAGATCACAAGTTTACGTTGTCAATAGCTGACCAACCCAAATTAAGATGATTCAAAGATGATTTTCACCAAAAGTTAAAATTGGAACCTTTTGGTTAGTGGTTACTAAACCAACTGTGTGACTAGCTTGATTAATAATTCCTACATCTTTTATTAATTTTACTAAACCACGTGTTCCGCCCCCAACTGTAAGCAAAGCCATCATAATTAATTTTCACGTTTTGTATAATAATAACAAAAAAAAAAAAAACTTTAAAATTAAAAAATAAAAATAAAATTAAAGGATGAAATGATGAAGATGCATGCAGTAGGAAGAAAACAAGGTTTCCTCGTAATGATTCCTTAAAATAAACTAATAATTAAGTAGTCTAAAGCTATTTTCAAAAAAAAAAAAAAAGTAGTCTAAAGCTAAATTTTAGAACATTATTGGTTAATTTTCATTTAACTAGTTTCCAATAACATTCAATGAACCATGTGCAAAATTTGAATCTAAAAGTCTAAAATTATAATCTATCTATTATAATTATAATAAGGTAAAAACTTTTGCAATCGTCATGTTATGAACTCGTGTCCAACATACATTGTGAACACGGTAATGGTGCCGTTAGTGGCACCGTCATCTTTCACCATTTTTTTAAAAATTTCAGACCGCTTCGTTATAGGAGTATATGTTCATAATTTTATCACTATATGTTCATTATTGTAAGTTTATAATGTCAGAGCTCTGTATTCATAATTTCATAACTATACATTCATACTTCCATAACTGTACATTCATAATTCCGTAACTGTACATTCATAATTCAATAACTGTAAATTCATAATTTTCGAAACTCTATGTTCACAATTTTAGAGCTCTATGTTCATAATTTTATCACTATATGTTCATAATTGTAAGTTCATAATATCAGAGCTCCGTGTTCATAATTCCATAATTGTACATTCATAATTCCACAAACGAATAACGCCGTTAACAGCGAGACAAAATCAAATTTTTTTTTAATAACTAGAATGCCGTCGTTTTTCCTAAAAACGACGTAATTTGCAAAACTTTTGTGAGTCCGTGAGACGGGTCATGTCAAGATAAATGTAATATTTATACTAGTAAATGTAATACTAAATCAGGAACGTTTATTTCTTATATGAGAAAATGTAATAGTTTTAAAGAAAAATATAATATTTTTATATTTTGATTTTGTTGTGAGCCTCAAGCTAATCCAAACCTCTGAGTGTCTTATTATGCTTAGGTGTATTTCTTTAAACTTAGGTGATCACAGCTTTGTTGGACTAATTTTTAGCCCATAGGATCCACCCCTAGAGCCACGACAATTTATATCATGCACCACGGTGCGCGTTGCATTGTGCGCCCAGATGCAAAACAACGTCGTTTCAATTTTTATTTTTTTTTTTGAAATATCGCTACCCAGTGTTTGGCAGTTACTTTTCTTTTAAAAAAAATCTTATGCTCAAAAATGTACATAATGTTATACTAGAATACACATAATTGTATACATGAATGTACATAATTATATAACAAAATACACATACTCTTTTTTAAAAGATAATACACATAATTTAACATAATACATAATAAACATAAACTTTTAACATAATACACATCAACTCTTAACATAATACACAAAAATTTCCTGATTCGGATGTACATAATTGTATAAAAAAATGTACATAATTTTATAAAAAAATATACATAATAAAAAATATACGTAATTGTATAAACAAATATACATAATCATGTCAACTTCCTACCGCGCCTCCCAAAACGACATCGTTTTGGAAGGCGCGGGGCGCACAGTGCACTGTGCGCTGTGGTGCAGGGTATAACGATTGCTAGAGCCACTGCAAAGGTAAATCGTGAGTTGCGCAATCAGCCTACAAGTCATCAAATCCTAGTTTTCATGTGCGCAAAATTGATCCAATCTAGATCTTCCAGTCATGACTTTAAAGTCAGATGATGAACCAACTATGCTAAGCCATGAGTAAGCTTAGGTGTATTTTGTTGTCATGTCATTTAAGTAACACCGTTGGAAATTATGAAATTTTCGACCATCTGAAAGTGATTTTAAATCAAGGTGAAAGCAAAAAGTGGTCGGAAATAGCAACAAAGATTTTTCCGGATGCCAAAAGTAGTCGAAACAAGGCTTTCGACTTGATTTAAGATCACTTTCAGGTGGTTAGAAATTCCATAATTTAATTTCCAGTAGTGTAAATCTTAAATATTTAACCCAAAAAAAAAAAAAAAAAGCTCTACTTTTTACAATTTATTTTCTCCGCTATACATAAGTGAAAGTAAAAAAAATAAATAAAAATAAAAATAAAATAAAATAAGAAGTGAAAGTATTCAAAAGTTTCTTTGCCAAACATTGACATTTTATTCTTCATCATCATCATCATCATCATCATCATAGGGGTATATTGATCTTTATATTCATTATTCCTTACAATTTCAAACGAAACCAAATAATAGAATCAATATTTTCAGTAATTTCTTTTCTATTAACAAATCAATGAAATCAATATTCTTTCTAATTTTTTTTTCTTGAAATTTCAATTTTTTAAATATTTTCCACAAATCAAACACAATGTAAGAATCTTAGCTTCAAGGTTTGGGTTTGAATCCATTGATTGTCATGGCCACGTACATCTTCACATTCCATGCATGTGGTTTCTTATACATGCGCCAACTACCGTAATTAACATGCCCCCTTTTTTTTTTTTTTTTTTTTTTTTTTTTTGCAATTCTTTTCAAAAACAAAATCTCGTTCTAAAACTACTAGATCATGAAATGGCCCTAACATATTGTCACCCTAATTATATTATCCATATTTCTCAATTCTCAATATATTTTCTTGATATGTTTTATAAATTATCGCCGACCACTCACTATGTAAAGATGTGCATTGAATATGATAAAATCCATTCAAATATAGTAGTAACTCACAAACCACAGCACACATGCCGAAGAGATAAATTGCACTAGGAATCAAAGATTCTATGCAATGAACTTGACTTAAAAAGTGTTGACAAAAATCAAACTAATTATGACCATGTTAAACCCATTCAACCACCTGTTTTGGGATTTTATATATATTTGCTTTTGAGGGTAGAAATAATATAATATTTCTCGTTTTTTAATTATAAAAGTCACAACAGCTCTTCTAATGGTTTCATCAAGTACTCATAGTATTTCTTAGAGAGAGCTGAGGGATCGGAGATGGCAGCAAGAAGGCTCCAAATGAGAGCGGCGTTGCGCAGACACCTTCGCCTTCTTCAATCTCTTACCAATTCCAAATCTGTATGTAACTATTCATCATCGATCATATTCACACAGACACACACAATAACCTTAATTAGCTTCTTTCTTTCCATTCAATCATATATATATATATATATATATATATATATATATATATATATATATATATATATATATATATATATATATATATATATTGAACTCTGATCTTATATATCTATCTCTGATGATGATGATCTGATCTGCAGTCGATCCATCATGACGATAATCTATCTTAGCTTTCGGAGTGTTTAATGTTTGAATTCCCTCAAATTAAATATATAACCCTGTTTGGTAAAATAGTTAGTTATCAGTCAATTTTGTATAACCCTGTTTGATAAAATAGTTAGCTTAGTAGTCAATTTTAGCCTATGTGACCACTATTAGCTGTTTTAACTTGGTTAAAAAGTTAATATAAATATTTAATTAATCAATTTTTTTTGTAACTTTAAAAAGAGTAAATACCCAAAATGGTCCCTCGACTATAGCTAAATTCACAAATTGGTCCTCGACTTTCAATTTCAACCAATTAAGTCCTTAACTTTGTAATTTTGACACGATTTGGTCCTCCATCTATTTGACCATTTGTTGACTGTGATTTTTGAGGATATATATGTAATTTCATGGTCCACCGTCGGTTTTTTAAGGTTCCGGTTGCATTTCCAGACCGCACTGTTACATTTGAATCCACTGTCGAAAGCAATCTACCAAATCCGGTTGTCTTTCTTCATCCTCCCTTTGGATTCAATGTAGTTGAGTACGTACTAGAGCGAAGAAGATGACGTGTTTCCGAACCAGTGCAACATCATCCTGGAGGCCTCCACGTACTCCGACGAGAGCTGAAGGTTCTTCTGGAGATCGTCGATCACGGTCAACAAACGGTCAAATAGATGGGGAGGACCAAATCATGTCAAAATTGCAAAGTTAAGGACTTAATTGCAAAGTTAAGGACTTAATTGATTGAAATTGAAAGTCAAGGACCATTTTGTGAATTTAGCTATAGTCGGGGGACCATTTTGGGTATTTACTCCTTTAAAAATGCTAAAATTAAAAAAACTGCTCAAAACAACTTTTTCAATTATTTTTGGAGTAAAGAAATTATACAAAACAGCTATCAGCTGACAGCTAATTTACCAAACACATTTTTACAATCAATTAATATTATCAACTAGTCATACCCTCTAACCTAATAAGCTAACAACGACCATTTACCAAACATGCCCTATATATGATTTTGATTAAGGTTACGTTGTTGTTTGTGAAGGTTAAGACGAGGTCTATCATCACCGACGCTATCCTTTACATCCTCAAATTACAACTCCAACTAGAAGCAATCAAAACAGAGTTGCACTACATCCTCCATAATATCCAAGTACTCTCTCTCTCTCTCTCTCACTTTGTGAATAATAATATGTGTATATCGTGAAACTTCATATATACCAAGTTATTCAAACATTAGTCATTAGAGATTAAATTTAAATAGTGCAATTTTAAACTAATTTTTGAGGGGGCAATGTGGGCATAGTTGTATTCTTGTATACAATAGACTATTGTAATGTTATAGATATATATTGTCAAAAGAAATTGAAGTAGAATTAAAATTATATTTAATTTTGCTATATATAGTGAAACTAGTATGTGTGAAAAAAAAAAAAAAAAAAAAAAAAAAAAAGAACACATGTAATAATATCTATTGTCAAATGAACCTAAAGTGTAATTAAAATGAAATTTAATCGTTACTATAAAAAAAACCTAGTGTGTGTGAAAATTGAAACTAAAAAAATAGCTCATATATACAATACGTACAATAGCATATATTATCAAATGAACTTGAAGTGTAATTGAAATGATACTTTAGCATTACTATAATGAAATTAGTGTGAAAAATTAAACACTAAAACAGAGCACACATGCAATAATGTATATTATCAAATTAACATGAAGTGTAATTAAAATGATACTTCAGTGTCACTATAATGAGACTATTGTGTGTGAAACATGAAACTAAAAGACAAAGTTCATACAATCACTGCTGGAAATTTCGCATTTTCCGTCCAACAAATGTTGGACGGAAAACGCGATATATTGGTCGGAAACGACGTTTCCGTCCAACATACCGACCAAAAGGAACGTTCGGAAAAACCTCCGTGGGAAATTCCGTCCAACTATAGTTTTTGGTCGGAAATAGCGTCCAACGAACAAAAATCGGACGGAAATTTCGGAAAGTAACCCACCATTTTTAAAACGTGGGAACTTCCGATCAACTTTGTCCGTTGGTCGGAAATTCCGTCCAACTACGTGCGTTGGTCGAAAATTCCGACCCAACGTTGGACGGAAAACTCACCTATTATATTTTGTTATTTTCCTTCCAACTGTTGGTAGGAAAATCCTAAATCATATGGAATATTTTTATTTTTTTTAAATTATCATAATTTTATTTATAACTGTTGTTAATAAATTATGTCATAAACAAATTAATGAACACACTAAATTGAAAATTGAAAATTGAAAATTGAAAATATATTTAAACATCAAAATTATTTACAACAAAAATTATGTTCATGTTCATAAAAAATATATACTACTTGATTGATACTCCGTACTACTTAAGTATGAAAATATACTTATTTGATACTACATAAGTATGCTCGTTGCACCGAAATAAGCCTTCAAATCCGGCACTGCTTCAATGGCCTTGATCAATGCAGCATCCACAACCTCCTTCAATGAAGTTGATCAAGTGTAAACCTTCACCAAAAATGGACCGTGATATAAGTAATCTAACACTGAATGAGTAGATACCTATGCATTTTACAAAATGACTAAAAAATTAAAGGAATGTCTTTTATGTTTAAGTAATCTAACACAGAAAAAATAGAAAACTTCTGAATTCTTACATCCTAATTCTAAAGTTTGTTTAGTATAAGAGATGTACTCCACAATTCTTACATCCTAATTCTAAAGTTTGTTTAGTATAAGAGATGTACTCCACAATTCTTACATCCTAATTCAAGATTAGTGATACTCCACAATTGTTATGCAAGTAAAGGAAAGTAAGATGAGATGGGTCTAGATGCAACACCTGAATACTGTCACCACGAGAATGTTTCCGTGCTCTATTATCAGGTACATTTACAACCTGAGACAACATAATGTATGTAAAACAATCAACAAGGAAATTAATTAGAAATAAATAACCAGGCTAAACAAGCAGGCACTTAGTGACACTTATACCTTAACAAGATGAGTTTAAAAAATTAAAAGGAACTGTAGCCTGGAAACTAAAGCAATGCTTCCCTAGAATTTTTAAAGACTACAGGATACTCAAAATGAACAAAGAAGACAAATTTACTGAACTTACAGTTCCTTCCAGCATACATGAGAGAGATGCATACATGATGACATCATTGCTCCTATTTCTCTTTATATTGGAGGGGATCCATACATGAGGACAGCATAGGAGTTGCACGCAACATTGACAAATTACTTTCATCTTCTATTCCTGGTACTTCAATGCTAGACTAAGTAAACACAACTAAGCAAAGGGATGCAACTCCAGACCCCCAAGTTGGAGTGTTCTTCGGTGTCTCTGCAGGTTTGAAATCACCTTGTTTCTAGTTAGGAAAATTTACTTAGAAGAGTATGGGGCATATGAGTTGAAGAGAAAAAAGACCCATAATTAAATTTAACTTTAAGAAGAATAACTTTTCAATACAATTAAACATTAGATAATGACATATCAACGAGAGGTCCTGTTACTTTTTCATCTTAAAGAAGCAAGAATATTTAAAAAAAATCAAAAATCATTCAGGAGCATCTAGAAGTTAATGCAGTCTTTGGGCAATTTTAAAGCTATAGGCAAGATTTGAAAATTACTGTGATATGAATATATAATCCAAGGAGCATACAACATAGAAATAAATCATCTTGGAAAATCCTGCTATTGTGTTGAGTGGGCAATGAAGAAAAGCAACCATAGGCACCAAATATAGGACTAACTGTAACCAACATGGACATTGTGTCGAATGCTGTAAGTGCTCTAGAAATCCACAAAATATCAATATGATTCAAACCCAACTCAAAAAATACATACTGGATGGATATTGAAATGCAAGGGAAAGTGTTCTCTTTAAAATCATTAAATGATCAAAATAATGTGGCTTCATCATAAATTGATAAATATGTTATCAAGCAAACAAAATCACCCCTAATTTTTTTTTTCCCCTGTATTCAAGTCTCACCATTAATTTTTATGCTCAAATAAACAACAAAACAGAAATGAGATTCAAAGCAAGGGTTTCGGGATTGACTTACGGAATCCCAACACTCCGTTGCGTCTTTCCCTCTTCATTTCTGAGCTTCCTCAAAAGGTACAGAGACACATTAGTTTAGGGTTAAGATTAAAGCCTCTATTATAAGACTAAGTTTATCCATGCAATGCTTTCTCCATTTCAAGGTGCACTATGGGCTTTAACTAAATCTTTCTTCTAATCAAATAACATTATATCAATAACTAGTGGTTCAACCTAGGTTCATAATCAAATTTGTGCAGTGCAGACTTCGTTTTCCATCCTTTTCACCTAGTATCTGACATTAGATGACTTAGTAGTGAAAAAAAAAAAAAAAAAAAGCAGCCAAACACACACACACAGAGAATATTAAGTTTCTTTAATGAGTAAAGGTATTACTGTTTTTAGATATGTAGTTCAATAAAGAATTTCCTTTGACGGCATAATAATGGCTGCAATCTTGATTAAAGAACATTTAGTTTTGAACTTGAAAGCAAACACACAAAGAGTATTAAATTTCTTTAATGAGTATAAGTATTAGATATGTAATTCAATAAAGAATTTCCTTTGATAGCATAACAATGGCAGCAAATGCAATTAAAGATCATTTACTTTTGAACTTGAGCTACTAATGGATAATGCAGCAATCAAATATATAGAGGTTGGGGCTCAGATCCATATAATTCCAGGATTGAAATGCTTGGCACTGCCATAGCTGCAAACCCCAGCTTGAGTGCGAAAATATTCACAAACAATAATAAACAGAATGATGTTGATCAATTATTCCTAGTTGAAGAATTTTACAGTTGGCTACTTTTAGAATTCAAGGGTCAAGTGATCAAAGATGGCAAAAAATTTGGACGAACAAATAATGAAAAATAGTTTTATGGGGTATATATATGGGTGTTCACTGTTCTAGATACTAGAGTTGATGCGAAATGACAATCAGTTTATAAATGGGTGTTCACTGTTCCAGCTATCTGCCTTAGCTACTAATCAACACTAACATGTTTCCATTTTTTCCACATTATTACTGAACAAGCCCTAATACCTAGTTTATAATCAACACTAATCAATCTTAACTACTAAAATCACAATAAGATAGTCAATAAGATACTAATATCACAATAACAATAATATTTGAAATCAATTAACAAAAAATTGAAATAAATTAATATAAAATATTAAAAAATAAAAAATAAACTTACCCATTGTTTTGGGAATCGGCAGCTACGGGGTGGTCGGTGGCGGTGGCGGTGGCGAGTGAGGCATCTCCGGCGAAGGAAAGGCGGCGGCGACTGTGGTTGAGACTGAGGCGATGGCTGTCGGTGTCTTCGTCGGCGGAGGAAGAGCGGCGGCGGGAATGGCTGTCGTCGTCTGTCAGTTCTGGTCTCGGAAATGAGGAAGGTCGTCGTCTTCTGTCGGAGAGAGGAAGGTCGGCTATCGGCTGTCGTCGTCTGCAGAGGAAGGGCAGCGGAACGGCTGTCGTCGACGGCGAAGAAGCCGGTGGAATGGCTGTCGGACTGTAGAATCGCAAAGAAATAGCGGATGACGGAAAATGCAAGTCTAGGGCGAAATGAAATGGCGGAAAATGCTAGTCTAGGGCGAAATGAAATGGCGGAAAATGTTAATTCTGGGGCGGGAAGGATATTAATTTTGAGTTGATTTTTCGCTGCACCCATTTTTTAAGCGGTGCCGAGAAAATTCTCAATTCTCTAATAAAATAATATTAAATTTCCGTCCAATATTACGTTGGACGGATATTAAAATACCTACTATTTTAATTTCTACCTATCAGTCAATTCGACTTTACCAACCAACACTATAGGTTGGTCGGAATTTCCGTCCAACGAGCGAGTATTGGACGGAATTTCCGTTCAACACTTGCGCATTGGACGGAAATTCCGACCAACTTTCCGTCCACCCATCTTTAGTAACAAAAAGTTGAAATCTTTAGTAAAATACCGACCAATTTACGGTTGGACGGAAATGTTGGACGGAAAACGCGAGATTTCCCGCAGTGAATAACATATATTGTCAAATAAAACTTATGTGTAATAATTAAAACGATACAGCGTGGTTTTACTTCATGATCCACTTGCTATATATATATATATATATATATATATATATATATATATATATATATATTAGTAAATGTTTTAATAGAATTAGATAATATATTAGTATATATAAAGGTTCTTGTTTGAACTTTGAAGGTTAAGGTGGCTTAGTGATTTAAGTATCTTATTATTTTAAAAGGTCTTATTATTTCATCTATTAATTATACCAAAAAAAAAATCTCTAATAAAATCACTACATACTTTTCACTACTTAATTACTTATGTGTGGCATTGTTTTTATTTTTGTTTTTTTTTTTATTGGGTGATTTACATGTGTGGCATTGTTATATTTGGAGTATATATTTTTATTGACTACTCATAAGTTCGTCAATTCTATTGCGGTTGATTTTTGCCAACACCCTCCTTATTAGTCGAATCTGTCACATGGAGTCTTTCTAGTGCAATTTACATTTTCAGTGTGCATAGTTTGGAAGCAATTACATAGAAGCGGTGTTTACCCCGTGCACATCCTCAAATAATATAATGGTTGGAGGTTTACCTTACCACCAAAAAAAGAAAAAAAAAAGTTTATGTAATAATCAAATATTTAAAAAATTTAGTACAATAATGACCCTTCAAATAAAATTGATTCTTAGTAATTTTTATAGGGAAATGTAGCCTTGCTCAACTTAGTATAAGTTATGAGTTACCTCATCTCACAAGTCAAATGAGATTTTATAATTAAGATTTAGTGTAAACCCAATTGTGAATATATCAGTCTATCTTTAAAATTACTTTTTTTTTTTTTTTTTTTTTTTTTTTTTTAGTGACAAGGAAAATCCGCAGTCAGTATCCGGAAGTGCGCCTTGAATAAATACTATTGTTATCTTATTTTATATATAATATTTACTATTCATTAGTCAAACTAATTTGTTTTTATTTGCTTATATAGTTTAAAGTTTAATAGAAAATACTTTATATCCTTCATAAATTTCACCTCCCATATTTCACCTTCTGATGTAGCTTCAATTCATTTGATACCCATAAATTGGCAGACGTCACCACTAATTAAAAAAATTAGTTAATAATCAAATATTGAAAAGTTCAGATAATGTCACTTTAGGAGAGGAAGATTGTAAAGAAAATATAGGAGGGGTATGTATAATAGCATTACTCTTTTTTTGTCTGTTGTCCCGTTTTACGTGTCTTATTTATTATTTATTGGTCAAATCAACTCTTTTTTCTTTGTTAATTAATTTTTTTAATATTTTTAATTATTTTTAAATCTGTTTTTTTTTTTGTGTGTTTAATAGTACTTTTAATGTAATTTTTAAATATATAAATTTTATATAATAATATTAAACTTAATATTATGAAAATTTGAATTAAAAATAATTCATCAAGTCAAGCCTCGTTAATCGAACCAGACACATAAAAGTGGACGGATGGAGTAAATACTTTATTGTGGAATATAATTTAAAAATTAATTTTATTTCTAGCAAATTTGTACTAAGATGTGGGTGTAATAATGAGCAGGAAGTGAAAGTGAAAAGGGATGGAAAAAAGATTATAGTGAAGGTGGCATGCAAGAAAGTAGGGCACCAAGATTTGGTTGTGAGAATAGTAGAGGCCTTGGAAGAAATGGATCTAAGCATTGTTGAACTTAGAGTTTCCTGCAAATACATCTTTGCAATGGAGGCCATTGTTGAAGCTGCAGAAGATGAACAATTGAGTGTAGGAGTTCTAACTCTAGCAATTCTTAAAACTATTGATCTAAATTGAAAGCCACAAATCATATGATGCATTATCTAATTAATGGTCAAATATTTCCTCTGGAATACATTGGATGTTTTCTTGTGTAAAAATAAAATTATTGCAATGTCATTCAAGGGTTTAGTATAATTTGTTGATCCAATAAGCCAGAGACGGAGCCAGGAATTCTGTTGAGCGGGGACGAAGAAGCAGGGACGGGTCCATAAATTTTCTCAAGTGAAGGCGAAACATGAAAATAAAAGAGATAATTTGAAAAATAAAAAAATAAATTACCCAAGAAATATAGGTATAAATATTGTTGGATATGGGTGAAAAATAAAACACATCAAAATTTTATAAAAATATTCACATTTTGATAAAATAATTTGAATAGAGAACACATATATTACACATCTCATTATTAATATAAAAAAGTATTATATATATGTGTGTGTTGTTGGATATGGGTGAAAAATAAAACACATCAAAATTTTATAAAAATATTCACATTTTGATAAAATAATTTGAATAGAGAACACATATATTACACATCTCATTATTAATATAAAAAAGTATTATATATATATATATATGTGTGTGTGTGTGTCTATGTGGCGCGTACACGTCCGTGCAAAGGATTTGAAACCTAGACCTTTATTGTAACAAAATATGTGCTTTGCACACTAATCTAACTCACTTCTTGTTAATATTCATCTGTTTCTTTATACTAATACTAAAACTTGTACTATATATACATATATATATACAAAGGTTATATATGGAGTGGAGGTTTGGGGAGGGGGGCAGCTGCCCGCCCTTTGGCTCTGTCCCTGCAATAAGCCATGTGGGGTATTGGGGTGGGGGGGGGGTGTTAGTATAATTTGTGGACTAATTTGATCTATTCATCTAGAATGATCAATGACTAAAAAAATGACTGAGTCAATTTTATAAATATTAGTATAAGAGAATCAACTCATGGATTCCATGCACCTATTTCTTTAATATAACAAAACTTATTAGACCAAATGTGTTCTTTTTGCAAACTAGCACCAGTAACCCAATTGCACATGAGACACTACCAACAAAAAGAAGTGGGCAAACAATGAAGACGAAGACAATGTCAAACCTATCCAAAAGCGAATTAACAAAACTTCGAGTAATTCCAACCAAAAGTAGTATCTACTACCTAATACCACACCAACTACAATAAGTATTTAGATAACTATTTTTTAAAAAAGTACAAATTAAACATTAATTTTACTGCCAACTATAATGAACTTCTCCTATATAATTTTGAATTGATATATTTTGAATTACTTATTTAAATACAAATATTAAGCATTAAATCAATCGCACAATGCACGTGTAAAACTAGTCTAACTTATAAGAGTGAATACAAGTTGTCTTCATGAATTATGTCCATATTATTTATGTTTGCCTAGTTATACATTATGTTAAAAAATATTGTACTTTAACCTTTTTTGGACCAAATTACTCTTATATTGTTAAATATTATGTTAGTTAAGTATTAATATTACTAAATCAATTATTTAATTATATTTACTTTGAATATATTATTTACCAAAATAATTTACCAAATTATTAAGGTAAAACCTTGTGTAAGACCGTCTAATTGATTATTGTCTGTGAGACGGGTCGAGTTGTACATAACTAGGTCTATAAGTATTATAATTTTAGTTATAACTATTAGAATATTTATCATTAGTAACAATCAATTTTACCTAAATAGTATCACAATTTTAAATATAAGTATTACAATATCTATTATAAGTAACAATTTATTTATTTTGAATTCGTATTAAATTTTCTGTAATAAATATTATGATTTTTATCATAAGTAACAAGCAACTATCATATATAGATTCGACCAGTCTCACGGATTAAGATCAAGCTTTAATCAATTAGATAAGTGAAATTGCCTTTTTGTCCATAAATTAACAGCTTATGGATTGAACTTTCACGGACGAATAAATTGAGTAAGATTGTCATAATTGGAAATTTAATTTGGTAAGTATATAGTCAATGACCAAATCATAATTTCATTATAGTCAATGGATCAGATCATCCAATCACTAACTCTAAATCTCTAATTACTATACCAGTGAATGATGTGTACCAGACATCAAATTATTCGAACATATTCAATACAAAGTAACTTCTTCCTTTTTTTTTTTTTTTTTTTTTTTTTTTTTTTGGGAAAAACAACAAAGCTTCATTTAAATAATTAACATAATCCAAAGCAAGAACATCCAAGATAAAGTTAGGGGGAATGAAAAACCAATTCCCCTCAGTCAAAGAAACAACACGCTTTATAAGAGAACCAACAACGCCAATGGCCTCTGCTTCTTTAGGTGTAAAACACCGCAAATTATTGTGTATACCATAGAACACGGTTTGCCATCTTTTGCATTTTTTTCTACATATATATAGTTTTATTTGTCTTGACATTTTTCCATTTAAACTATGTTTTAAACCTTGTTAGTGAATAGAAAACTGCTATTTTTTCCCACTCATAAATGATGTGGCTTTCATGTTTATCTATTACGCGGATAGCATATTATGTTGAGTATGTCCATATAAGGAATAAGAGCAGAGCGGGTATAAATATGATGCTTGTAATCCTAGATGTGTTATGATCATCGTCACAACTAATAAATAATAGTTTTACTTTTGTGGACGTAAGTAATGTTTCTTATTCTTGTTAATCTCAACAAATTAATATCAGAACACTGTCGAGAAGGCCAGTTCGAGTGTGAAATTCGAAGTATCAAAGTTTGATGGTATATAGAATTTCGGGTTATGGTAGTCTAGGGTTTATTTGTTGGCACAAGAAGGTCTTCTGAAAACCATGAAGGCAAAAATTAAAAGCCAACTATTAAGGAAGAGGCTGATAGGGAGAATTTGAAAGACCGCGCGACAGTACCCATTTGGTTATGTCTCACATATGAAGTCGTGTATCACATTTTGACCTTGGCAACTCCAAAAGAAATTTGGGATAAATTGAAAGGTATGTTCATGAAAAAATCGTTGACGAACAAACTACATCTGAAGTAGAGACTTTACGGGCATAAGACTCAGGAGGGTTTACACTTAATTAGCTTGATGCAACATATTAATTTCTTCAGCCAAATAATCTCAAATCTAGTCAAGAATGATGTCAAGATTGAAGATGAAGATGACAAGGGCGACAATCTTGTTATGTTCATCGTACAGCTCTCCAATCGTCTGCCTGAGCAGTCCACACCATCGGCTGAGCGATCTGCACCCTCCACTGAGCGGTCTGCACCATTCACCAAACACACGGTTCGCCTCGGTCAGCAAGCGGTGCCCTCATAGCCTATGCGGATCATTCTCCCCCACTGTTCGTTTTCTTGAATTATGCTCCATATCGTGCTACCAAACGAGTCCTTTTTGCTATTTCTATTAAAAGGCGCACATCTACGTTCCTAATTGAATCCCCTCAGTTCAATTATCTTCATGCCCCTAGGGCCCCATTAATAATTAATATTTCTTTTACCCCTCACTTCAATTATATTCGTGCTGTTAGGGGTCCATTAATATTTTTTTTAGTACTATTGACTCGGTTATATGTAGAGTCACTTCATACCGCTTGACCACAAGGTGACCTCTCATCTATATTAAATACATCCTTTATGCTATGATTTTATCTCTCCATTCCCTTCTATATTTTTGTTGATATATTGCATGTGTTATCTTTATTTTTAATTTAAATTTCATGGGTTAGAATTATTTTTTGGCTTTACAAAATTTTAGGATAATTGAAAAATAAGTTCTGGGGAGGGGGAGGGTGGGGGGTACGTTGTTCTAATTTCCTTGTGCATCACATTTTACATCATCAAAATCTATTTATACTTTATTTCTAACAAGTTGCACTTTTGTTACTCGTTATAACTTTTAGTATAGTGGTAAGAGTTTAATTTTAGCAATTGGTATTCCCGCAAAAGGCATACTGCAACGTGGTGGGCAAATTATGCTTTGGAAACGTGTCCACCTTGCAAGGTGGGCACGGGTCCATATTCATAATTTCTATACTATAGATTCATAATTATATAGCTATATATTCATAATTTTATAAATATATGTTCTTCATTATAGAGCTATATGTTCATAATTTTCGATGTTCATATTCTCAATTGTTGAACTCTGTTTTCACAAATCACAGAGCTATATGTTCATAATTTGATAATTATACAGTTTAGAAAATATGAATCTATAGTATAGATATTATGAATCTGCAGTATAGAAATTATGAATCTACTATATATAAATTATGAATCTACTGTATTTAAATTATGAATCTACGGTTTAGAAATTATGAACCTACAGTATAGAAATTATGGAACCATGCCCACCTTACATGGTGGACACGATTCCACAACATAACGTTCTGATAGTACTAATTCCACGTAATGCGGTCAAAGTAGATAACACGGCCAAGTTAAAGCATATAAAGTCTTTTATTGATCATGTAAAAGGACCTAATACAATCTAAGTGGCTATTTCGAGGGCCGACTGACTGCGATCGGGATGCTCTGTAAATAGCCTATCGATCATTCCAAAAGTCCCCTCCACTGTTGCCACCGTGGGTATTTATAGCCGCTAGGCCGGAGACACAGCTCCGGCCGGCCGGCATGTAGCCCACGTAGCAACCACGTGTCTTCACCCAGCAAGCCCTGCCTGTTAATGCCTAACGCTGCCACGTGCCTCCTCTCGACTCTCTCGTCTAAGGGCTATCGATCGGGAACTGAAGACTTCGGTCAGGCAATGCGCCGGTCGGTTACGACCGGGTTCTTCTAAGAATATCCGACCTATAACCTGCATAAACAAGAATAAAACACGTGGCATGTCGGTCGGGGTATTCCCTACCAAGAGCCCCCCCCCCCCCCCCAGCCCGGCCCTTTTTAACCGCCCGGGAAAAAATGAGACGGGATGAAGAAGTCCAAACGTCTGCCGCCACCCGACCGGACAGCTGTCATTCAGTCGTGCCACGTGTCAGCTTCTGCGCGCCTCGGAGTCCA